ATCGTGGCTATGGAAGTTGAAAACCGCCCGGCACGATGCCCAAGGCCGGTCCCATCCCACATTCCTGCACCTGGCAACATCACCAGACATAGCCTTCCTCGCCCCCGAGTTCTTCGCAACATATACACCATGTTCATCACGCGTCGTAGCAACGTGGATGACAACGTATCGATCCAGGTTCCGAGCTTGAGAGGATGAGGTTGCCATTGTTTCTGGAAACGTGGTGCGGACTTGAGGAGGCAAGAGTGGCAGCGAGTGAGATCGAATCATGCCCGAGTTCAATAACCTCGGCGGAGGCCACTGACATATACACCATGTTCATCACACGTTGTAGCAACATGGATGACAACGTACTGATTCTGGTTCGAGGCTTGCGGGGATGAGGTTGCCATTGTTTCCCGAAACGTGGGGCGGTCTTGAGGGAGAATGAATAGCAGCGGGCGCGATCTCTGGGAGAAAATGCGACAATAGCTCAAATTTGAAATCTGGTGCCTTTGCGCTGATGAGGTGGTTAGTACCATTGCTATCTAGGGACTGCGGACGTAGAGATTGACTGGGGGAACGAACTGCCCGTGACAACGAATGACGCTCAAGCACGTTGCCCGTACTCTAACTCAAAGCAAGACGAGTGCTCCAAGCATACACTGAGGCATGGCATCGTACACCCACCCACCCATGCCTTGTGGCCTGACATTGTACGGGCACCCATACCTTGTGGCATAACATTGTACGTGCATCCACACCTTGTGGCATGACATTGTACATGCTCGAAAGGACATGTTGATTGGGGATCCATAGTGCCCTGCTAGGGAAACTCCGTTTGAATGTCGGCGCTCGCGGTAGGCGGTCGGACGAGGAGCAGGTAGATCCTCTGGGTTCGCGGCCTAGGCCAGCAGATGGTGCTGCGCGATCGCCACGCCGTAGTTGTCTGCCCGCTTTGGAAGGTCCTCATCGCTGCTAGGTTCGTCGGAGTGAGCGGGCTTTGCTTTCCCTGGTGAGATGGATAGTCAGCGAATTTTCAATGAGGGACGATGACGAGTGCATTGAGATGGGTGGTAGTGTCAGAAAGCTTTATTTGTCAACATGCTCAACCAGCGACGCATCGGCTCAAAGAACGGGAGAAGCGGCTGAGCGGTCTGTTCAAGAGTAGTTTTGGTGTTCATCCTTTGTGTATAAATTGCGCGAGCCAGGCGTGAATGAGCGTCGTTCTCTTACCGTGGAAGAACAAGTCTTGAGAGGCCTGACGGCTCAGGTTATCATTAGGTTCCGGGTTGTTGAAGTTCTCGAGTGGACTGCACTTTGCCTAGTGAGATAGTTGGTTAGCGAGGCTTCAATCATGGAACAAGGCAGGTTCAATGTGACGGGTAGTAGTGTCAGAATGCTTTATGTGATCAACATGCTCAACCAGCAACGCATCGGCTCAAGATGAACGGGAGAAGCGGCTGAACGGTCTGTTCAAGTGTAATTTGGTGTTCATCCTCCGTGTATGGCTTGCGCGAACTAGGCAAAAATGAAGATTGATCTCTTACCGTGAAAGAAACAAAACTTGAGGGGCGTGGCAGAAGCTTTCAGCTAGTGAGATGTTAGAACTGGTGATCTTCGATCGACGACTGGACTGAAAGAACCCAAAAGTTTGCTGGTGTCAGATGGACTTACTTGTACGAATGAAACCACAAGCCCTTGAGGCTGCGGTCGGGCCCGGGAAGTTGTAGTGAAGAAGGTAATGCTGTGGACGGTATGACGAGAGTGTCTCAGGAAAGATACGGATCAAGCGAGACAGCCGGCAGGAACAAGCACTGAGGCTTGGCGAAGCTGAGGGAGTGTTTGGCGCGCTGAGGGAGGCGACGGGAGTGCTGGCGAGACAATTGGGAGTAGGAGAGAGCAGGAGATGAGGTAGTGGGCAAGCAAGGTCAGAGAGCTACAAAGGAGAGTGCTTGTGCTAGAGATAGGCTTGCGTCAGCAACAGAATGAACAGCGGGAACGACACTAAGTGGCCGGATAAGCTGCCACGTGTGCTCTGTGCTCAGTAACAGAGAGGTAGTCCGCGTTGACGAAGGGAGACAAAAACATACCAGCTAGTCACGTCTACTTCTTCCACCACTTTCCAAACAAGTTCTTCTGCTCCGGCCAGCTGCCGAAGGCCGCACTGGACTTGAAGGGCCCACGGCAGAGCTTCGCTGCTGCGGTAGCTGCGACGAAAGGCGGCAGGCGGACGGGGGGCTGCGGAGTTGGCACGAGGCGGGCGGGATAGGCGGGTTTGAGGGGCTGAGGGGGCTTCCCCCTGATGATGATATCGAGGACTTTGGCCATGGAGGCAGATGAAGTGGTGTAAGAGGAATGGATGTGGTGACGATGTCAGTGTTGAGGTGACGGAGATGAGTGAGGGTGACAACAAAACGGAGGGTGGGCTGAGCAAAATCCAGTGCGTCGGATCGGCGCAAAGACAAATTCGGCCCGGCAACGGTATGCCGATACGAGACGTTCCTATAGAAAGAGGTAAATGTGATGAGCATACAGTACTAGGTCATAAGTCTGGGCACACGAGTCTATCACTGCTTGGCCCCAAACTTGCTCACTCGACACCACTGCGAGGAAGAGCCCAGCAAGTACGCAGCCAATTAGGCAGTCTAATTTGCATTACTTCAAACTTGACATGACGCCTGAACTTTGGAAATTCCATGGGGGTACCGCAGGCAGTGGCAAACGCGAGTGCACAGACTTCTGACCTGTCACTGTAGGCCCTGTTTGAACAACACAACCTGACCTTAGACAGTGGTACCCACAGCGTCCTACATCCGGCCCTCCACAATATCGAACAACTTCCGGGCCGCCACATCTGGGTTCACAGTGTCGAGCTCCCGTCATTGATTGATAGTGTCAAGAACCAGATTCACTGTCCACATATTGACCTCCAAGTAGTCCCGATCCTGCAGCATATCCTGCATGAAGTCACCAACCTGTTTCTTAGAAACCCGTTGAAACGTCGTCTTCGTACTGATGGGGGCGTCCCGGGCGTACTGGTTGACGGCTTGCGCAAGTGAACCCAGAGGTGCCGCCAGGAAGACAACTCTGGGGTCGGAGGAGCCGGCAAGTAGACGTAAAGAGCTCATGTGCAATCCGTTCATGCCTCTAATGTTGCGTTCGACGAACTGGGCGTACCCCCCATAGACCATTCCTGGAAGCCAGGGGTTGAAGCAACCACCTCGGCGTTGTTGATGACGACGTCCAGGTGCCAGTGAGAGACGGAAATAGCGTCTAAGGCGGCACAACGGGAGACTTTTTCCAAGCGGCCGAGCTGGATGGAACTGACAGTTGAAATGGCGTTCTTGGGGCTCGTGGAAGAAAGCTGAGCCGCGGCATTTTGAGCGTTCAGGAGAGAGCGGCAAGAGACGACGAGTGCTCTTCAGACTGCCAGAGCGGCTTCGTCACTCGGAATCCGACAGGCTCATTGCCTCCTGTGCCACTGTTAGCAAACACCTCGTACCTTTTGCAATGCATGCGTACCTGTGATGAGGACTACTTTAAGCGAAAGTCGTCCGCTCGCACAGTCGCTCGTCTCAGGGTTGTTGCTACCACGATCTGTCGAGAAAATGGAGCCCATAGTTGAGGTAGTGCGAGGAGTACGGGGTCCGGGCGATGAGGTACGTTGTGGGTGGCCTACTGAGTGGCTTATTCACAGCAGCTGGTGCGAGGAGCGCGGACCCTGGGCGATGAGGTCCGTCGCGGGCGTCTGCAGCAAAGGTGCATTCACCCTGAATGGGATTCGCTTTCGAGGAGAAGGCAGAACTTGAGCAATTGGTGCAACTCTGAGCGATGAGGTCCGTCGTGGGCGGTCTGCAGCAGGATTGCTCGAAAGCGGGCGTAGTGCGCGTACTGGAAGTGGTCCAGTAGCGTCAGACCGAGGCAAGCGAGAATTTCCAGAAGTTTTGACGACTGAGAAGGTACTTGATGTAAAGCCCAACCTAGTAACATTTAGACTATCTCTTAACGCAGCTGGCACCTGCTAGCTGGGGTACTCCTTACAGGGGTGTCGAGCGAAAAGAGTGGAGCTGGAGCAACGATATATCCGTGCCCAAGCCTGTGACTTAGTGCTGTATGAATGAGGTAGAGTCCAACCTTTCCGTAGTGTTGGAAGGGATGAGGATAGTCGGCGCGAGGCGCAGATCTCATCACGGCGTACATATCAGACCGCTCAACGTCATGTCTTGTTTTGCAGGTACACCACCTGATTTTGGACGTCCAAGACATAAGTTTGGGCACTCCTTGCAACTGGCTGGGGTAGTCCGATGGGCTGTGGAAATTGCAAATACAATGTGAAGATCAACGCAGCGGAAATTAGACTACCTTTCGACAAAAAAGAAGACGTCGTACCTAAGGTACTCCACACACTGGTGACGAGAGAGCAAGAGTGAGACCAGAGCAGTGGAATATTCGTGTGCATAGAATTGGGGCCTAGTAGTGTGTCAGCCTCCCGATGCTACAATCCTGGGCATTAAGTTTGGGCATACCATTCTTTTCGTCTCGTCTCGATTGATGATGAGGTGCTGAAGCACTACATAGAGTGGCAAGGGGGCTAAATGTCAGCGTGTGAAAATGTCTTTAATTTACGCTCTCAAGAACTTTACATCTTCGTCAATAAGAAATGGAATATGCTAAAGCGCCTCCAACGGTGGTGATCATCTTGCAACTAGTAGTTATGAATTTATTGATTTCTCCGTTACTGCAATTTAGTCCTAATGAACGCTAATATACTGAACTCGTGCCAAACGAAAGGAAAGTCCACTTTCTGTCCGCCAAAATGTCAACATATCTTCAATTTCAGGTAAATCAAACAACATCGCTCCATATCACCCAGGCATCGTCTGCCATAGTTTGCCCTTTACCAACCTAAGTGTCCAACCGAGATACAATTTGTGTCCGGAGAGCTGCAACGAGTCACCTAATTCGCAGTCGCTCATGCTGACATTTTCAACATCATACGAAGAAGGCTCTGTATCACTCTACTCTTCGACAGGATAGTAGAAGCCATCTTGTGGCTCACCGTACGTCTCGTGCGCATCTTTCAGTTCATCGAGCGCCCTCCTCGTCGCATTCTTCTTCATATCTCTCGCAATGTCCAGCATCTTTAGGGCTTCTTCGTACATCTTCTGCGTGCGGTGAAGGTCTTTTATCGCATTGTGTAGCGAAGGTGGAGCAACAGGGTTGCCATCTGGTCCTAGGCCGAGCGGGCGGGGGACGCACTCTAGGGTTGGAGACGCGCTGTTGAGATTCTTGAGCTTCAGCCGGTATTTCTTCTCTTTGTGCTCATTCCGCTTTCCAATGACGCGCTCGTCCACCGAGCCTCGCTTGGGATGGTCTTTGCGACGTCGCACGACTTCCATCATAAGCTTCTCGGCATCCTTCCGGCTGACCATATGGCCGCTGCGCCCGCGAATCTCGTCCGGATGTGCAACCACCTTGAAAGTGTCGAACCCAGAGTTGACAATAGGAGGTTTTGTGGGGTCTCCCGTCGACTTCGCGTCCAAAGGTGGAAGGAATTGGTATTCCTCGCGTGGAGATTTGACGGGAACTGTCGAGATAAATGGGCGAATCGGTGCGCGACGCTTCTTGGGTTCTCCCATCCGCCTAGACGGACGAGGCCGCTGGAGCTTAGGGACCATCATCTTCCGAATATCGCTCGGCAGGCCTTTTGGGCGGCCTGCGCACGGCGCCTCTGCAAAATAGTCCTGGTTCGGAGATCCAAGGGGAGATGGTGTGGGTGTTAAGGCATCTCGCGCAACTTCGTCAGTAGTTGACTCGGGATCTAGGAAGATCTCCGTTGATGACCGCATCCTACGGCGCTTGCGCGACGTCTCAACAGGTCCTACATCCAATCGCATCTCTTGACGCGCCATGGCCGCTGAGGTTGGAGATCGTGGTTCATCGTGTGAAGGAGGTGATCCCTCGCGCAAGCTCTGCGCTCGCAGAACAGGATGTGGTGAACGTTCCCTAGCACGCTTGACCCGCTCCCGCATGTCTTCAGGCAGTTCGACGCACTTGTGTTTCAGAAAATGTCCACTAAGGACACCCAACTGGTCCACCGGCAACTGTTCAACGTCCGTTACGTCCTTGCGGTCAATGTGAAAGATGGTTGCAGATTCGTTGAAGGAGACTCGCTTTCGCTCCTTGGAGGGCATACCGCTGCTAGTCGAGCGAGCGCTAGAGGGGTTTGAGACGGATGTGTTTGTCGAGGAAGGGGCCAGGTCATCTCCTCGGAGGATCCAAGAAGGGTTTCGAAGGATTGATTTACCACACCTGGGGCTCGGAAGATTCTCGAGGTCAACGATCCCATACGCGATGGTTCTACCACGGGGCATAGATTCCCTAGCAATCAAAGTCAGGCCGGCAGACATGTGAAATTCTTCGCGGCTAAAATCCTCGTCGAGTTTCTTCCCCAGGGTAGCAGCGGAAATATCCGTTGACGTCATTTCTTCCTCCTCCATCAAGGTGGTGTCGCCGTCTCCGATAAAGGAATTGTCGAAGTCATCTTCGGTGGTTGAATTGTACGGGGAAGTATGGTCGTCGGCAACTTGATTGACGGGTCCATTGTCCGTCGTCTTCTTGGAGGCAGCTTCGTTGAGGGCAAATCCAACGGCAATGTTTTGGCGCTCGGTAATGGCTTCGACGTAGGCGACATTGTCCATGCCGGTCATGGATTTGTCGACGACGTTCGTGGGGGATGGCATGTTTAGAGTGGTAGAGGCCGTTGTAAAGCTTTGTACTTGCGGCGTGGGGAGAGAAGTAGGTAAGGAGTCGAGAATGATTAGAAAGCTGGCTGTGGCAATTGGGTTTATATGCTTGGAGAGGCGAATCTCCGGAAAGCAGTGTTGCTTGTTGTGTTGGTGGGCAGTGCGGCCAAAGATAGTGCCTTGGTAGGGTGGTGGAGAGAAGATATGGTGGAGATGACCTGCCGGACGCGGCAGCTGGAGAAGTTTATAGGACCTGTCAGATTGGGGGATCACGTGGACTTAAGACATAGTGGATCTTATGCATTCACCATCGCGGCAGGCCTCAGAGTTGTACTGTGCATTGTGAATCACCACGAGAGAACTTGTCTTGCTTGAGGTACATTGTGAATGAATTACTTGCTTCCCTTTATGCTTTTCGGAAACCACATGACCTGTACAGTGCACGTTGGTGCCACTCTCCAAACCCATTCACTTTGACAGATCTTCCCGCAACCCGGGAGATCTTCTCCCGAGACTGGATCGACAAAGCGGACATGTCTCCCCGAGAACTCGTGAAGCTTCCCAACAACCGCCCTTGCGATGAGTCCCATCAGCCTGCCTTGTCCTCTGCAACGTCCTAGCCGAATCTTCTTCGTCAACGTGAAACGCCTTCCACGCAGATGAGGTTAACCGGAAATATCAGCCGGAGGTCAGCGGCTTGTTTGAGGGATAGAACGGGGAGCGAGACTAGCGTGGCAGCATCTAAGCGTACACGGAACGATGTTGCGAGCTAATAGACGGTCAGTCCACGGACTCCGGTAAAGGATCGCTGAGGACTTACAAGCTCGGTAGTTTGGCGCACTCAGTTCGAACTTGTGGTTGGTGGCGCATCAGTCGGGGCATGAAGCTTTGATGTTTGGTGATGATGCAGAGGTCGCTTCCGGTGTTTCCAGCCAGCCCGGGATACGGAAGAGTCATCTCAGATCTGGACAGTGGCAGCGGCGAGATTGAGTGCTGATGGCTTGTGAAGCTTCGGAGGTTGTCGACCAGTGACTTCAGGCTTCAGGTTCGCATAATTCGCAGTGGTGCAATATGAACTGTATCAGCCGTAGTATCGGACCCTGCTCGTTGGTGGAGGTTCGGAGGTCTCCATCAAGTGGTGGCTGTGTTCCCAGAACTCAAAGACTCGGGGTATGATTTGAGCGGTGCCGATCATGACATCGAGTGCTGATCTTTTCGAGGATTCGGAGGCATTCAGACAGTGACAGAACGCCAGCAAAGCGAGCAGTGAACGGCGCGGACTGGGACGCAGTTAGTTCATGGACGTGGTTGGAAATATGCGAGGTACTCACAACATGATCAAGCTGATCCCATTTCGGAAGTGAAATATACGAATTGACGTCTTTGACATTCACTTCGGATCGATCCTGGCGTCTCGAAGGCCTTCAAACGGTGGTGACCGGCTGGCAAATATCAAAGATGTTCTCATGGAGATGGAGGCCATGGCGATTTCGTCGATCAAAAGGCAGAACCGGCAGGGACATGGAGCCAGACGATAACTGCACATTGTGCCGGAAGAATGTCGGAGTGACCGGCGATGTTGCAGAACTTGATGCACAAGGAACCAGACGACGTAAAAGGCCAGGAGGCCTTGGAGTCAGACGATAACCGCACCCAATAAGGTGGAATTACCATTAGACATTACGATAAGAATGTCGGGTAAAGGTCCTTTAGGGCATAATTCTGTAAAATGGGTGGTCAGTGTGAGCTCTTCTACCGTCTAGGAAGACACAAAGGCCGCACTTTGTGTGGCAAACTCACATGTTGGGGATAAAGAGCACACTAAGAGGAGGAGGCGACGGCGACGGGGACCGTGGGGGTGGAGGGAGGGGGGGAGTTGGCGG